AACAAAGATAAACATGGGGGCTTGTTTTATAGCAATAGTAAATAATCATTGTTGTTTCAAGGTCAGTCTATTCAGCAATCTAGATAATATTTTTCCTTATTCACAATAGATCGACTAATTAAACTCAATATTGAGTTGCTTAGGTGTAGTAAATATTGAGTGGTTTGGGGTGCTATGGGTATAGTGTACAAGCATCGCATGTAAACGTACTTGAATATTTATAAGAGATTAATGGGTATCCTTGTCATAGGAGGGGATTTCCTCCTTGACGCCTCTAAAATCACATGATTGAGCGACATTGTGGATGATCCGCTCCGTTGAACTTGATCTACATATTCTAAAACCCCAACACACCAAGTTTGGGGTGAACCCGTCGTCGTTTGACCCTCCATCGAGCCATGTGAAAAGTTCTATTCATTCAAAACCGTTAAAATTGATACGAGTGGATGAAGGGTCAAACGACGACGGGTTCACCCCAAACTTGGTGTGTTGGGGTTTTAGAATATGTAGATCAAGTTCAACGGAGCGGATCATCCACAATGTCGCCCAATCATGTGATTTTAGAGGCGTCAAGGAGAAAATCCCCTCCTATGACAAGGATACCCATTAATCTCTATTTATAATGCACAAGAATACATAGTAATAGATACAATCAAGAATTTCACTAGTTCTGATAATGTTGCCACTAAATTTGCAACCTTTGCAAGTTCATCTCTAATCTATTGCTCCACTATCACAATCACAATACCTAACTTGTCATTTGAATCAATAAAAACAGCCGGCACACATAATCAAGAAATTAGTCTTTATCCTTAAATTCCAAAAGTCCAAGGGGGGAAAACCACAACATAAACTACATGTCAATGTCAAATTTGTGAGGATGTCACTGAGCATGACGGAGGCGTCAATCTCTCATGCAGCTTGAACGGTCCTATTAACCACAACTTTATGCAAAAAGATTAGTGTGAAGGAGAAAAATGGGAGAGGAATATTTATAGATACATAAGCTAGGTGGTTATAATTAAGAAGTAGGAGACAAAAAGGACAAAAGGGTTTTGAATTTGATATGAGCGAAGAGAATAAGTACTCATAACAATGCTTTAATTAACGTTACTTTAATAATTAAGTATGATAAGTGTTACTTAGTCTCGTGATCTCATCAAATGAAACCGATTATTTAGTGTATAAAAGTAACAGATTATAGTATGAATTGAAATGGCATGTGAAGTAATGGAGAGTGGAAAGAGAAGGTATTTGAGATTATAAATGTAGATTTTAATTAAATTTTTAATAATTGTATTGTATGAGTGATCGTTTAAGGATTAATTATAAATAATACTATAATTGTGAATTATTAAAATTTGAGAGGGCAAAAAAAAAGAATTTAAAAGTTTTGATGGGGGTATTCTCTTTTATAAGTACTATAGATATAGATATAGATTGTTTGTTATTATTATCTTGTTAAGTACGCAAGTGGCTAGCATCTGTATGCAGATCGTCTGACTTGAATATTGAGCATGTTGTTTCTCCAGTATCCGAATAATTGGGTTGAGTTAATTAAGTCGTTGGTTAATATCCATCTAAGTCAAATTATACAATACAGATCTTTCGTATGTCATCGGCCCCTTCATTAATAAGAATCATATGCTTTAAGACATCTACTACAGATTTGGCACTATTCTCCAGCTCGGAGACGTTGCCTTAATCTGCAGTTGATATCTTCTTTTGTATGTTCTTCTAACCTTGATCATCGGTTATACAATGATAGGGAAATCCCTATTTTCACTCAAAAAAAAAAAGAATGATATGCTTTTTCTCATTTGTCCGAATAATTGACTGAGTTAATTAAGCCGTTAGTTAATATCCATCCAAGTAATATTATACTATACAGATATCTTTCATACGTCATCGGCCCTTCATTACTAAGAACCATACGCAGTAGGTTTCAGTCCCTGTTTGCATTCTTATACCCCCATGAATTATTTTTAGTCTCATCTTACTCAATCAACTATTAAATTCGTTTCTTGTTAACCTATCAATTATTTCCACTATCATCTTACCCCTTAAACTATTAAAATTATACCCTGTTACCCCCTGAACTATCACTCTTCGTATCAAGCCACCACCTTTCTTATATTAATTTTTGGATATTTTAAATGGATAAAATGATGGTTTAGGACATAACGTGAGACTTAAAATAGGTAACAAGGGACGGATCCAGTAGTTCGGAGGTAAGGTACTAAGACAAGACTAAAAATAAATGAGCTTTGCTACGGGGACCCAAAATATGGGACCAATAAAAGGGACAAGTGAGGTGTCCCTTTCTTATTAGATAATGAGTTGGTCATCATTAATGATGGCCAACTCATTATCCAATAGGAAGGGGACACCTCACTTGTCCCCTCTATTGGTTCCATATTTTGGGTCCTTGAGGAATTTTTCAAAATAAATTAGCGGGGATGAAGAAACAAAATGAATAATTCAGAGAGCGAGTAGGGGTCGAAGCCAATAACCTAATACGTTCACTTTCAACATTAATTTGCATCCGCGTCCGCGTGTCCCCATGAGTAGTGGCTCATAACTCGCATGGCATGGAATAGCTATTAATACTCCAACAAGATTGTGCCTTGTTTTAGGTGGGATACTGATGGTGGCTAATTATTGGCCTTGAACGCTTCGACGGATGAGCTGCCACTAGACAGCTAGAATTGCAACCGGGAGTATCAATTAATGCCATTAATTAGGCCACCTAAAAAGGGATTTGGATCATCTCCACTACAAAAAAATAGTGGAGAGACCACTACTTTTAATCTCAAGCGTTGATTATTTAGTAGGCGGTTATGATACAATCTAAATCTAACACTTACCATACCCCCGTGTATTGCACTCATTCCTAATTTGCACTAAAAGAAAAAAATCATAACCATCAACTAGATAATCAATGGCTGTGATTATGTAGTGGTCCCTCCACTATTTTTTTTGTAGTAGAGAGGATCCGAATCCTTTGAATAGATATCAAATTTCAGTTTTTGGTATATTATCATACGGAGCCTTTTCAAGTAGTGTCGGGAGATTGTCCATTTTTAGAAAAACTCTATCCATTTTAGGATCGTGCTATGTTTTCCATTTAAGAATGGTGCAAGTTCTCCTTGAGGCGTCAATTATTATGAATTAAATTTTCCCTTTTTTTTTTTTACTTTTGTTTGTGGATTCAAGGATTTTTCTACTTGATCCGAAGAGTTGGTGTATTCCAAAGTTTTCGTTCCATGCTCTTGGATTGTAACTAGTATACTACACACTGTTTAGCACATGGACATAATTGTAATATTTTTTTAATAAAGGGTGAAATAACTTTTGTAACTATTAAAGTCTTAAATAAAAAACTTACTTTTTTTAATAAATGGACCGGTAAATAAAATTGCATGCAAAGAATTGTATGAATTATAATAATTTGGATAATATTATAATTTAATCATACTTAATTTAAATAATTATAACATATGAAAGAACTACCTAATTTAATCATACTACAATCAATTTATTTGGATAGTATGACTAATTCATAACATATATCATTGTTTTTATTATTGATGATCTTTTTCGCAGTGGATTGTTTCACCCCTCTTTTACTATGATTAATTTGGTTTACATGTATACTGAATTTCTACTATTCATATTGTAATTCTTAGTGATTGAATAATTTTACATATGCACACACAATTAACCTCGAAAGGTAAATCACTAGGACACTATTTGGCAACAAGAGATTATGTCTTATCTAAGATATTGTGTTTTATTGATTTGGTCAATAAGCTAGTAGAGCTGTTTGGTGATAAAAAGTAGGAGGAGATTATTTTGGAGATTGTGTCTTTTGCAAGTAGTTTTTGGAAAGCTAGCTCAAGTAGCGTTTGTCTTTGGGAATGATCTTTCAATTTTTTCTTCTTCCATTTTTGCCCCGAATAATTAGGGCAAATGAAAGTTATTACCCCATCCAAAAATCCTAGCTCTTTTTCATATCACGCCTGACACTCCTTCTGCTTCTCCTGAGCATGTTTCTCCTCCATCTCCATTGAAGGCCATAGTCAAGGTAGTTTCGACCCTCCCATTGGACTTCCTTTGTTTGTCCAACCCATCATATCAAGGTAAATATTCAAAATCTTTTTTCTTTTTTTTTAATTTTTTCAGATTCTGTTTATGGTTCTAATTTTATAAAATTTTGTCTTTTATTTTAACTGTTTCAATTTTTTTCTCTTCTGTTTCGATTTGGTAGTCATTATTGTTCTGATTTGTTTTGCCAATTTTGTGAAGATTGTTTAATGGGAATTCTAGGTTGTTTGTTTAATGGGAATTCTAGGTTGGGTTTGGGGCTTCTCTGATCTCAATTTTGTCCATCACATTTCTCTGTTCTCGGTTCTGTCCATCCCATTATTTATAGAATTATGATTAGAAATGTTGCTTCAGTTCTTTTATTTTTTGGTGTTTGTTCAAACGAAATAGAACAAATTGTCGACATTTTCTTTTAATTCTTAAAAACCTTCAAGTAGTATTATAATGTGTGTTTTTTCTATATTATAGATGGGATCAAGTAATGATGATGTGGAAAATCAAAAAACAAAGGTACTGATGATGTGGAGGGAAAGACATTTAACTGGACAAACGATTTTACGATTGTATTGTTGGAGTTGTGTTTGGCATTTGTTGCTAAGAATGGCCGCAATCAACTATTCAAATGACGAGACATTGCCAAAGACTTTGAGGCAAGAACTAATCAGAAAGTTAATAATTATAGAAATAATATTGCATGCCCTTTTTAATCATTTAACAAATTTAAGCTAGTTGTACATCTACTTTTGCCAAACAGTTCTACTTCAATCAGCTAGCTACACAGCTATCAGCTTTAAGGTACAATTTCACAGCTTTCAGCTAGCTTAACAGCTTTTAGGTATAATCTCGCAGCTTTTAGCTAGTTTTGCCAAACAGAGCCTAGGACAGCCATCAAATTGAATATATGGAAGGTGAAAATCCATTTATTTGTTACTTTATTAGTTCATGTAATTTTAGCTCAAGGCCCAACAGACTGGACTTAATAAGGGAAAGTGGAATAAACATGACAGGACTAATCTTTTCTATTTTCAGATCCAAACTAGAAGAGAGATCACACGCACAGTTCATCTTCAGATGGTAAAGGTTCAAACACTGATTCAACTTGATGCACATCAATATCCTCCAATTTAGCAGGGCTCCATTTCGGGTTCTGCAAAAATATAGGATGAGGGAGTGAGAAAAAAGAATATAAACATTACTGGAAGAACCAACGAACTAAACATGCAGAAAAGCATTAGCATGAATAAATACCATATTTCATTAATGTTCGACAGTCACCAGCAAAGACTTCCAATGCCAGGAAAAATACATGACAGAAATGTGTCTAATGTTCACATTTGGCCAAGATATGATGAAAATTGTTGCGTTACAATCTAAGGTGGCATGATACGAATCGTAGCATTCATGGTTTGCTATACACTGGAGGTGTTAAGTTAAATTCCAAATTAAACTTTGCTCATTGGACTACGATAACCTCTGATGTTAGAAAACACACTATCGAGCAATAACTATTTCTCAAAAGACTATTAGGCAAACTCGAAAGAGATAACAATAAGAAACACCTTAAATAACTCACATCTGACATCGGACATCTGAGATCTTCAATCAACTGAATGCCCCAAATGTTGCAGGCGCAAAATTTTTTAGGACAGAGTGAGTAGAAAAGGCATTTTTACAATAATGTCTTAAGAGGATGAAACATGGATAAGCAATTGGGGTAAAATTGTGCCATGTGACTGGTTAGCTTCCCGTCCTCTAGCTGCTACCTCCATAAGTTAGAAAGGAATACTTACTCAAAAGAATAACCTTTCTACAACAAGCTATCAGAAAATTCATGCCAATTATCAGATCACACCGAACTTTACCAAGAAAAATTTATGAAGAACCTACAATTGAATCCATCAATTTCTTCTTCTTCTTTTTTTCCCTTTTTGGAACTTTTGCTCTCAGCATTCTGTTTTAACTTGCAAAATGGTTTGCTCTATCCTCTATCTGCAAAGGTCACCCCTTCAGAAATCTTCACATCCCATAAAGATGAAAGCATGCCAAGTCATTTCACCAATAGTTGTTGGAACAAGGATGTTCCATATAGGAATGAGAGTACCAATAGAGATATCAATAGCTATTTTTATTAATACAAATAAAAAAGAAAAACATGAAATGAGTTCCAAAATACCTGGTCCTTGTCCACCAACACTGCTCGTACACCTTCAGCAAAATCATTTCGAAGTGATGACCTCAGGGCAATGCGATATTCAGCCTTCATTACACCGTGCAGCTGCATATGCATTGAGATTTGACTCACATCTTATTGTATTTATTACTATGACCGTTTAGAAACGCAAAGAAACAACAACTGGTGCCAACATCACTAATGAGAATCTGAGAACCTTACTTTAGATAAATGATGGTCATTTTGCCCATGTGCAGATGCAACTTCAGAGAAGTGCTTCTTCGTTAAGCAGAGAGAAAAGGGGGCACCTTTTCCAAGTCCTTGAAGAGCTTCATTAGCCCATCCTGCCACTGGTATCAAAAGATGTATAACTAAATGAAATATAGGCTGAAATAGTTTCAACTTTCAACTACTCATTAATAATCATTCAAATTGGATAGGGCTGAGAGCAGGTAAATGATTATACTCATAGCACAAAATGCTAGCAAGCAAAATCAGGTAAAAAGAAAACATTTAGAAGAGGTCGACAAACTATACTACTATGGTAGCATAACCAAATGTCCCTCCTCAATAGAAGCCACAGGTTGCAACTTGCAAAATTTTCAAGACATTGATGGACAGTTTAGAACTGAAATTGCAATAAAGATAATGGACCAAACACAACACTGGGATGGTAAAAGCAATAAAGATTGGAAGTGCCGTTAGCAGATAAATTCTGTTACACAGACTGTTTGGAAACATGAGTTTACTTGTGGAACGTACATGAAAATAACATATACAAAGAAATAAACAACTTATAATGACACAGTAATAATTTTCAATTTGTTATAATATGAAAAAATATCCCTCAACCCTCACTACAATTTTGGAGTTTTGCTGCAATCGTTAGAGATTTTATCATGGTATCAAGGCAACCCAGGTTCAAATCCCAACGGCCACAAATTTAAAGCGTATTTAAAATAAAGTTTGACACTGCCGCGAGAGTCCAGGTTTCAACCAATAAAAAAAGTGCTCAATCTGGGGGGCATTTGGAATATAAAAATACATTCCTAAACCCTCACCATCTAGGTTTCAACCCATAGAAAGGACGCTCAATCTGCGAGGGCACATCCCACAATCCTCCCCATAACTTTAGAGTTTTGGTGTAATGGTTAAAAACAAATGTTGAAAATAATGAAAATGGGTTATGTAACACTTGACCTCCTGTTATGGGTTAAGGAAAAAACACAAAAACAAATAACGCATAACATAGGTTATATTATTTATTAATTATTTTGATATTTTATAAACACTAACAATTCATAATAACTTTAATACTTAGAATCATCAAACTTTTCAAACATAACATCACAATTATCAAACATAAAAATATAATATCACAATTTCTTAACAAAAGTTAGTCATATATGACTAACAACCATTCCAAAAAGCATCATGAAATGATCAAAGGCAATAAAATCGTCAAGTTTAAGATCAAACACTTCGAACTCTCGAGTTCTTAACTTTACAACAATATTATAATGCCTAATCAAGTTCACTACATCAACCAAACTAAACATGATTACATAACAACAGTAAGAAATTTTGCATATACAGAGATTATGTGCAAACTTAATTTCAAAAAATCTAATATTAGCTGAAAACTGAAAACTAAAACCTAATCAAAATCAAGTAATAATTGAAAGTATTTATCTCACCAACACAATTAAGCCACTAATTGATCTATGTATTCTGATTCTGTGACGAATCTTAAAAATTTATGTTTGAAGGGTAAAGTAAAGGAGCAACAAGTTTTATATGATTTAGGGTAAATTGGCAATAGAAAAGATTGGAATTTGAAAGATAATTTTAAAATCACTATTTATTTAAAGGATATAAACTAAGATGCTCAATACATAACTGAAAAATAAAAAATTTACCTCACCGGAGTAACAGAAGCCGCTGATAGTCAAAGGAGTTTCAAAGGTAAGGAGTTAGGGTTTGGGTTGGAAGAGACGAAAAGATCACAAATTCGCAGGAAGATAATAGGGTGATTAGCACTAAAATGGGTCATGTTTAAATGATTGGAACGGTGGAGATGTATCCACGTGTCCTAATTAGATATGCAATTTAACCTTAAAAAATCCACATTAACTGGTTGTATTTGTATAACGTAACACACATCTAATGCAATATAACGTGTTTTTTTAGGTTAAACAGTTTCAGCGTTAAATGAGTGTGTTATATAACAAGAGGGCATTGTTAAGTTACAAAATGGGTTAAAACATGTTATATAGATCGTTTTTTTCAACACTGAGACTTTAACATAGTTTATAGATCAATAGCAGTATGGTAAATGGGATGCAGCAGAATAATATTATACTTCCATAATTGTGGATACGAGGATGGATCATGGATGTATGTTGCGGAATGAGTGTCAGCAAGCTTGGAATGTAGGGATTTGAGAAAATTGTCAGAAGGCATTGGATCATTGAAGGTATTGATTAAGAACACAGAATCAGCATGGAGGCAAGATATGTCCACATGAACAGTAACCATGAGTTATTGTTTAGAGCTAAAAAAGAAAAGATTATATTTTGGTCGGGTTTAGTTTCGTACTGTGGAATGGAGAGAGCTGTGATCTTTCGTAAAGGGAGTCTTGTGGAAGAGATATTCTTGAACATAGTACCAAAAATACGGATAAATTTTGGCTTCATGCCTGACTAATCCACATACCATCTAGCAGTATAGCACTTCACATGCACTCAAGCAAGAGATTTCTCAGAAACTCACTCAGAATTTTTATTAAGCAATGTCTGTTCTCAGAGGAACAATTTCATTTATTTATTAGTGAAACCTAATGGAAAAAGATAGAAACAAATATCATCCCTAACTCAATACCTCAATAAAACAATAATTCATAACTAAAAATCAAATCTAAAATATCAACTACATTATCCTAACTAAAAAGATAAAATAAAATATCCTAACTACTTCTACAAATTGAATCTTGTCTCAAGGTTTTAAATATCGGTCGATATGTCATGTCGGTTTGAGGGCTTGAGCGACACGACATGGACGTTTTTAACTCGTATGTTAGTTTTCAGGACCAAATCGGAAATATCGGGGCCATATCGGGCATATCGGCCGATTTTTCAGCCTTAAAAAATCGCTGAAAAATCGGCTGAATGACCCTTTTTTTAGATCTGTTTTTTGTTATCGGGTTTGGGTTTAGTAATAAAAACCCAAACTTTTTTGACCCGTTCTCATGTTTAAGGGTTTCTTATGAACCCGATAGAAAGAAAAGAGAAAAATTAGGGCTACAACGGACCTAAGAACCAATCACTCCTTTTGAGAACGACGACGTCATTCCCCCACCTCCATCTCGAATCCTCATCGTCCATCTCTCATTTCATCCCGAAATCCGAACCCCAACCAAACCCGATGGCGACAGGGTATCCCGTCGTCGGGATAAAGGGAAGAGAGTGGTCGGTGACTCATCTGAAGGACCCCGAGCAGACGAAGAAGAAGAGCCACGACACTGCCTCCCTACGACGTCCCGTCGCCGACACTGCCTCCTTGGGACATCGGAATCCACCCATTGTCGGTGCCGCCTCTAGAATTTATAAAGTATGCTTATATTGAATTTAGGAATGCTTAGATTACATTTAGGACATGATAAAGTATGCTTATATTGAATTTAGGAATGCTTAGATTACATTTAGGACATGATATTATACATATACGCATCACCCGATATGACAATCTATTTAGGAATGCTTAGATTACATTTAGGACATGATATTATACATATACGCATCACCCGATATGACAATCTGATATTTAGTCCATGTCCCCCGATATATCCCCGATTTTCGCTATCCGACATGGATTTCAACCGTCCGACATGAACCTGACATCCGACATTTAAAACCTTGTCTTGTCCTGCATCAATGTTGTGGGCAAGCTAGAAGGATAAACTTGCAGTTAGGTAGACACAAAGGAAATGCATGTACGAGAATAAGGACTAAGCATGAGAGTGGTGATTCATATGCGGTCAAATGATTCACATGGAGGATAACTAAAAATGAGATGTTGATGGCATGAATTAGTTGAAACTTGAGTTAGCATAAAACCCAAAGCCAGATTCTACAACAAGGCTAGAAGTCTGGATTGTTGATATACAAGTAAGAAGAAAATCCAAAACCAAAAGAACAGAGTACCAGTTTACCAGTTTGCTGCTAGTTATTTATAGCTTCTTGAATTGCTATTTGTTGGCTCAGTTTCTTTATAAATGTAAAGAGAAAAATATTAATTAGAAGTAAACCTTGTGGTCTCATGTTTTATAAATTTTGTAACATAGTATTCCTCTCACAATTATGGCATGACAACAAGTGGAACCAACTAGGACCTCGGTATGATATCAGCCACTAATTCAAAAAGTCAGGTGGTATACTAATTGATGAATTTATTTATTCATTCATTTGAAATCTATATACCTCCAGAATCAGCATGCTGTTGGAGCTTCTTCAATTCTTCAATTGTTTCTGATACTGATTTATTTGCACCAAAGCATGAAACAATGTGAGGTAACAGCAAATTTAGTTGAGCCTCTGATTCAGGCTCCTTCTTGTATTGCGCCAGAAGTGCTATGACATCCTTGTGAGGGTCATCAGAGCTGTAACATGAAAATACACATGGTCGTGGTCATACAACCCTAATCAAAGCCATTCCTAAGAGTATATACAATAAGAGGAAGTGGATGTAGATTTTCAAAAGTGGGAAGGTAAAAGGTTTTAGAGAACTATTAACCTTGTGACGAGTATAAACATGAATATCTTTTTCTTTTTCCTTTTTTTTTGTGGGGGGGGGGGGGTTGGGGGGGGAGAGATGTAGAGCAGGTGCATTATACACAGACCATTTAAACTTCCTAGAAATGAAAGTGATTTGAACTTTGTAACAACCTCGCTATCGTCAACAGAAGAAAACGAGTTTTCCCCTCATGGGTTGGCGCAATAAACTTCAAAGATGGAATCATCAATTATGATGCTCCCCTTAATAGTCACTACTTACAAAATGATCCAGAAAGATCAGAAAACCTTATGCAATAATTCAGGCACCCAATTATGCTAGCATTCAATTTGTCCAAGGATGAGTGTCACTATACTAGTGGTAAAACTCTTGCAGCCATGCGACAGGATTGGGGTTCAACCATTCAAGTCCAGCTCACAAAAGGGCACAACCTTCACTGACCAAAAGGAAAAGAAATAATAAAAGCTGCCAAACACCAGGAGCATTGCCTTAATATTATTCATGTGAACATTTTTCAACGTTATTACTTTAGAAAAGCACAAAGCACGGATGTCTCCCATTACAATCCATGATCTCAATGAGAGGAATTTATCACCACAAAGGTCAGTGCACCTGTTGTCCTTTAATGCTAAAATATTATATGGAATCATAATGGAATAATTTAGAGTAAGGAATTGTTGATGCATAATAACCAACAGGCAACATATTTATAACAAATATAGACAGACTTCGTTAAAAGATCAATAAAAGACAAAGATAAGAGATATACAAGTTCAACGAAAGAAGTGCCTCCCTCAGGGACACCAAGCTTCCAGATGGAACATAATGACTTCCAAGACCTACATATAGTGCATCAGCAGGAGAGGAAATCCTCTTTCCAGTCAGTCCAAGGTAAGCCCCTGCAGAAAATTTACACAGCTTGTAAACGAAACGAAAACATATACTAATAATATACACTGTACATTAACATCATTGATCAGTCTTTCTTTTCCTATAAAGATCCACAAATGCCAACAAATATTCTCTAAATTTATCTCTTCTTTAGTTCATCTTTAAATAGTAACCTCTGCTCGTTGTCAGGTAAACAACAATATTCCTTTGGTGACTGCTCAATAAACATTAATTAAAGTCACCAGACAGATAACCAAAAGTGGAAAGAATACAAGGAAATTCAGTGTGGAGAAAGAACATGTATGTAACGATAAATATGCACAGCTCATTGTGTTTTGATTATCAAACGTTAAAGTAAGGACCAAGTAACTGGTTAGAGAACTAGTTGTGTAAAAGAAGTATAAATGTGAATGGCATAATAACTGCAAGGGATGGAGGAGTTGTGTTAAACAAGTAAAAGAACTTAAAATATGTATCAACTTGGCTATGGCTTGTCCTAAAAAAAATAAAAAAGCATACCAACTGCCCCTGATCCTGGGCTCTGAGCAGCTATGTAAGCAAACCCAACATCTGGAAACAACCCAATTCCATACTGCCCCTGATCCTGGGCTCTGAGCAGCTATGTAAGCAAACCCAACATCTGGAAACAACCCAATTCCATTTTCTGGCATGGCTAGAAGAGTTTTCTGCTATGTAAGCAAACCCAACATCTGGAAACAACCCAATTCCATTTTCTGGCATGGCTAGAAGAGTTTTCTGGCATAAATCAATTTGATTAACCAGTAATGTAGTTTCCAGTATTAGCATGAAAATTTATAGTAACAAGCAATATGATTCAAGAACATCAAAATCCCTAGACTACAAAAAAATAATACCTCTGTAACCACCCTATAGTGGCCATGACCAGACAATCCAATTCCAAACCCCATAGTTACTCCATCCATAAAGCTTATATAAGGCTTTTTATAATCGAATATTTTGCATATCAAAGAATACTCTGCCGCAAAAACCTGCAATGAAAAACTTCTCTTTGAAGTATTCCATAGTTTAACTAATGAAGATCAAAAGCTCAAGCCAGTAAACTATTTGGAAAAGGTTCGACCACTCAAGATGAATCTTAGTAAGCAGAGAAGAACGTACAAGTTTTCTCGATATAAGGAAAAAAAACATGCATGGTTGAAGGAACACACCAATTTATGTAATGTCTAGAGTTAGTGCACCAGATGGAGTATACCATTTGACTAGAGATCTTGGAAGATATATGTTGGTGACATGGTGCATGTACGAAAAGTAAATTCTATGCAGAACAATGATGTTATAATTATTGAAGATTCAAAATATTACACATTAAGACAACACTAATTGGTGCTTCCAGTTTACATATTAGCTGCTCCATAATTAAACAAAAGATTTTAATAGATGCATAAAGAATCAGATACTGATAACTGATAAGTATGTAGCTTATACCGAGGGACTCATTAGAAAGCAACTACGCAAGTCAGATTATCTAGTATACAATTTATAAACAAGAGGTTCAATTCCAGTGTTCTATTACGTATAGAAGTACTCACAATGAGACCATTTATCCAGATACCAAGGACCCTGGAAACATCCACTTGAGATGTTGAAGGGCCAGTACAGATGTAATTTTTTTTTTTTACTTTTTTTGTCTAGCCAATAGCATCAATTTGTCGAATTATCATTACACAACATATAACTATCAAAAATCCTTAAGCATTTCTCTTTATTCGGTTATGAAAATGAGAGGGAACATGTTTCACTTCCCTATTAAATGATTTTACTTCAATAAAATAAATAAAAGGAAAAAAAATAGCTATGCAGGCAAGAATGCATAGAACATGAATGACATAAAAATTAATGCATCCAAAAAAAGGACCTTTTTCACAAGTGGTGTAGCTCTGTCCTTCTGGATTTCAGCAACAACACCCTTAATATCCATCCCTGTATTGATCACAGATTCCACATTCAAACTATACCTATATCCAAAAGGAAAATAGGCACGAGCTCAAAGAGGGAGTACCTGCTGAAAAGGCACGGGCTGAGCTGCCTTCCACCAGAATGCATCTCACACTAGGATTATTTTCCCATTCATCAAGAAACTTCTTATACCTTATGTCCATATCTGCAAACAAAATAAAATCAAAAGCAAAATTTAAAACAAAACGCATCCATAAAAACCAAGACAACGTTGTCACACTGCATAATATGGACATTGACAGTGTCATGTAAATCCATCCTGTTATGATTGTTCTTACTAGTTTTCTCTATCATATGTCTCTATCATATGCATGTTTAATTAAAAACCCACTAACTACTATTTATTCATTAAAATCCATCACGTTAACTCTCTAGGAATCCTAGGGCTTTTCTAAAGCAATAAAAGGCACATATAGATCTCTCTTTCACCATGGTATATTTCAATCTGTCATGAAAAATAAAATGCATTCATACTTAACCTTCCTTAATATCTTCTCGATCACTCTCTTAAAATTTCATCATGTGGCCCATAGACTTGATTCCACAATAAATACCCAAGTGCTAATTCATCAGTAATTATATTAACATCTATAACAAATCCTCACATCAAAATTCACTAGCAATTAGCATCAAATTCGTAGCATTTCAATCAAGCACTAAACTAAAGGAATCGGATCAAGAATCAAACCTAGATTCATGGCGTTGAGGGCTTTAGGGCGATCGATGGTGATGACTGCGACGCCGTTGGGGTGAACTGCTCCCTTGACGAATTCATCCGACGAGCTGCTCGCCATGGCAGAGAATTGGCGCCGATACGAAGAAGAGAGGCCGAGGAGTAGATAATTATTGAGATAATCAGGGCTTATTTGAGAGAATAAGGGTTTGGATGAAAATAATTGGGGAGAATGCGAGATTTTTAGTAGCGGGAGGCGAGTGAAGGGAAGTCGCATAGCGAAAGAAAAACGATAAAAGCTTTAAAAGCGTGGGGCTTTTCTTTGATGAGTTTATTTGGGTTATATTACCCAGATTCGCATTTTAAATAAACCTTACTTACCATTTTAGTATTTTAAAAAAGGAAAAATTATGTAGAGATCCCAAAAATAAAAACTTCATATGACGAGGTCCTTTGTATTCTACCCCATCTACTTTCCTTCATAACTAAAGGAAAACCTATGGATGAAAAGTAATTTTTTTGATTTTCCACGTATTTTCCTATAATTTTGATTTTCCACGTATTTTCATATAAAAAAATAAAAAACAAAAACTCATCCAACCGCTTAAACACAACCGTTCATTTTGGTCCAATTATTATACACCGATAACGCTTCAAACCACCTCATTTTACCGCTGCCGCTTTTCCTTCAAAACTGATACCGCTATTTTTTTTAACTTCGTTCAAATTAGCCACGTTTTGAAATCTGATGACACGTTGCTAAATTTCTATGCTAAAGAGGGCCACGTTCCACCGCTTCTTCCACCGCTTCAGAGTTCATCTTCCGTATGGTCTCAGCGAGAGTTCTTCTTCAGGTAATAATTTTCTTTATTATCCTAGATATTAAAGACCTATTAATAATATCTTATCGATTTTGTTGGTTGTTTTGTTGGCCCAATAAGTTGGCCCGTTACTCTAAATACCCAGCTCCCCCACTTGTGCCCTAGCCCCTCTCTTTTCTTCACCTACCCGATGGTTCTCACCCCCTCCTAAGTCTTCGTGATCTGATGGCCGCCGCTTGCTCCCATCCGTAGGTCGGCTCCCTCCTTCGTTTTCTTCCCTAGCTCCTCTCCCTTGTCGGCTGCCCCCATCCCTATATATGGGTAATGGGTTGGTAGTAGCTTGGGAGAGGGATGAAGAAGAAGAAGAGATGATGAGGTGAAGATTTGAGCTTGAGCTCTCCTCTGATTTGTGTGATCTCTCTCTTTCTGTGAGTTTTGTGCTCCTGAGAGCTTTGTGCTCTCACCCCCTTTGTGCGATCCTCTTTGTGAGTGACGGTTAGAGGAGATCAGTGAACTCTCCCTTTGTGTTCTTGGTGGTGCACTGTGAGAGGAGAACGGGGACTGATTGTGCAGACCTCTGAGCCAAACGACAGCGACAAGATAACCCAACAGATTTCTTCTGCAATTTATTCTTCCGCATGATAGCTAAAGATTTCGTCAATGATTTTGTTAAAATTGATGCTGTGAAATATTCATAAATTTCAACTTCTAGCTGATAAAACATGCTGTGAAAATTATTTCACCTTGTGCTCATCATACAGTATAACTTAAGATTTAAATCTGTGAAAATTATTTCACCTTGTGCTCATCATACAGTATAACTTAAGATTTAAATCATTCAAGTATAATACTATAAGCTCCCTTCAAATTTATATATTTGATTTTCCTATTTAAATTTTTTAATGCCTATGGCATGTAAAGCAAACTAACTTGAGTATGATTTGTACAAAAAAATTACATCTGCAATTCATTTTTTTTTAAATTTACATGGTCATTCTTTTTATGCATCTGTATTGAAAAGTGAAGAGTTTAGGAACCGAAATCAAGTTATTGAGTTGCTTTTTTTAAACCTGAATCCATGAATTTTATTTACTCATCCAAGCTCATCTCCAGGTAATTTTTCTCTTACATGAACAACATGCACAGCAATATCCAACAGGCAGAGCATTCAGACTGACTTCCATTTCAATTTTCATGTCAATAAATATTGGATTATATGTATTGGTTTTTCTTTTTCCAACTATTTATAATTGATTTATAAACAAACTCATTATACAGTTATGAATTTCGTCGACATGTCATAGGTGAATAAAACTCAGATTATAGTGAATTTCATCGACATGTCATAGATGAATAAAACTCAGATTATGACATTATGTACTATATCTGAGCTTTAGCTATTTTTACAATTTTGTAACTCAACAATTTAAAAGATTTACTGTCATTAATTTATACAGGTTCTTGCTTAGACTTGAATTTAGACCTCAGTAAATAGATTATATGTTTGAGCTCATCTTCAAGTACTGCTCAATATCTATGAAGGAAAAAATCTTTTAATGTAAGTACATACAATTGAGTTACAAAATTATATTTATTAATGCCAGTACATATAATTCTTGCTCTTACCACGTGATTATATTCAATTGTACCTTATAGAAAATGGCATAATCTGAGTTGAATAGAACTAATTGTTTTCATATGAATCTATTCTACAGTGCAACAACGTGATTTTAAAGTACTGATCAATATCTCAGTCCGTGAGGAGTCCATGATTGTAAGTATATATTAAAATTTAATGTTGTCTCGAGATTGCTGCTCCCATTTTATTTGTTGCTGCCATTAAGGAACAATTGTCCTGCTTATCTAAAATTTTCTATATCAAGGAATCTATTCCAGTCACCTGCTGCATTGCTTAGATGTAGAAATTGCTTTGTAAATACAATAATTCTTGAACATATCTAGCGTAGTTCTACCTTCATAAAACCAGTTTCTGTGGATAAAAATATGAACCGCCAGCAATAATTTTTTAAATCTGCTCTTTGATCCCTAACGTGCCTAAATACAGTTATATGGATGCTTTGCTATATATCATTATGAACTGATGAAAGTAGGATGGATTTTATCCCACCTGTTTATTAGCATATATCATTATGTACACGCTTCAATTCCCTACTCTGTGATTGGTTCATCTGCAATAAAACGAAGTAGATATATGCAAATTGGAAACTGCAGCGAGGAAAATGTAGGGTTATCTACGATCTCAAGAATGGCCAAATATTTTGATAAGCCACATTGCTATTACCGATGAAACTAGGAGTTAATGTTTGATCCGCTAAAGTTTCTCTTTCGCAAATTTCTTTTATATACAAAGAAAATCTGGTAATTCTTTTTGCATCATTATTGCAAACTGAAGAGTTTAATCACCTTAAACAAGCTATGTTCTTGCTTTTTTTAAACCTGAATCCATGAATTTTATTAACTCATCAAAGCTCATCTCCAGTAAATGTTTCCTGAACATGCGGAACATGCACATCCATATCCAACATGGACAACATGCAGATTGAATTCCTGTTAAATTTTCAAGTCAATAAATACTTGATTATATGTACTGGCTTTTCTTTGTCCATCTGTGTTGAATTGAATTATAAACAAACTCATTATATAGTTATGAATTTCGTTGATATGTTTAGATGAATAAAAAAAGATTATGACATTCTGTACTTTATCTGAGCTTTAGCTTTTTTTACACTTTTGTAACTCAACAATTTAAAAGATTTAATGTCATTAATTTATACAGGTTCTTGCTTAAATTTGAAATTAGCCATCAGTAATTAGATTACATGTTTGAGCTCATATTCAAGTTTCTATTCCGCCTGATAGTTCAAGATTTCATTGAGTTCTGAACTATTACTTTCATAGTCCTCCCAAAATTGTCATCCAAACATTAGCACATTGAATTCAATTTCAATTTCATTTGAGTGATTGAGCAGATATAAAGTATATATATAAATTCCAATCCATTTTCATTTTCATGTAAATAAATACTGGATTATATGTAGTGGCTATTCTTTGTCCATCTGTGTTAAATTGAAATCTTCCTGGTTATTAATTATTAAAGGAATTCGTTTATATTTAAATCTCATTGTAACAACTTAATTTAACCCGATAGTTAAAAAAGAATATGAACATGCTAATACTTACAACAAACAAATCCCTATCATTTATGATGAAATGCTGAATCACCATCTGCAGGCTAAAACTACCCAACATGCACATTTTATAAGTAATGAACACGGACAAATTATGATCATTGTAATTATCAATTTTACTTTAGAGAAAAATGGATGATCTCATTTTATATAAACTTATTGCCTTAATATGACTATATTCTGCAGTGCAACATCGTGTTCTCAATGTACTGATCAATATCTCAGATTACACTAGGAGTTCATCATTGTAAGTCTATTATCAAATTCATATTCTTTTTTACCTATTGTCTTGAAGAATGTTGTTATAATGTCAAAACATACTGCATTATGACTCTTTTTTCTATTAAAATCTGTTTTTAATTGGAATCTTCTTTTTGGTTAACTGTTTAATTAATACATATTGAGATAAGTTCATCATATGTACATAGATGCTTGGATTATGACTATCTTATTGTTTTATACGATTAGCAGATGTAATACTGAGTTATCATATTCTCCATAAATATGATATATGATTTTATATTTCTATGTAACTTATCTACAAGTATATTTTCTTTTGGATTTTGTTCTTATTATTGTTCATAAAGCTTGATTAGTAAGAATGTATGCTATTGATATGCATATATGTTCTTATACATATATATAAAATTAGATTTCAATTATATTGATGTTTACACTCTGTTCTTGACAAATAGTGAAATCAAATATAAAATTATACTTAATTTAAAAATAATTTTAGATTCCGCCTGATAGTTCAAGCTAAATAATTGAGTGCTCGGTAAAATTGAATGAGAAGTATCTGTACTTTCCTCGATATGTTTATCTATCCAGTTATGAATTTCCTCCATATGTTTACCTGAATAAAACTCACTATAGCATTATGTACTTTAATTGAGTATACAAACTCATTGTGAATTTTAGCAAGTCCTCGGATTCTGATAATTTTGTAACTCAACAATTTATATTAAATAAAAAAATTTGTTTAATCTATCTAGCAAAAGTATCTTTATAGAATAGGAGTTACAATACAGAAATAAATTGACTCTTGATGATGGCTGGAATTTTCAAGAGTACTTTATAGAAAATGGCTTAATCTGAGTTGATTAAAACTAATTATCTTCATATGTATCTTCTTTGCAGTGCAACAACGTGTTTTCATCGTACTGATCATACTCTCCGTCAGAGAGGATTTCATCATTGTAAGTCTATTAGCATATTAAATTCATATAATACATATTGTGTTGAAATAACAAGATATAATGTCCATAAATTCAGTATTATGAC